ATAAATAAAAAAATAATATATTTGATATAGAGTAAAATTTAACACGAAGGGTTGGAAATGGAACTTGAGTTTTGGCTTATTCTACTCTAGAATACTTTAGAGTAGAACAGAGGACTGGAGATGGTCTAAAGCTATGTGTTGTCTAATTATTTCATAGTAGTTGTTGTTGTTATTTTTTTTTTTTTAATCTTATAAGTTTATTCTTTAGATAACAAATTACATTCTTTTATTATGGTCTTAAGAAAGTCACGTCGCGCGTAAGGAAAATGTGGTCGTGATTGTTGTGGTTCAAATATTGTCAGTCGTCCATTATTCTACTGTAAATGTTGTTCAAAATATATTTATATTGATTTATATGTTTTTCAATTAAAGTTAAATGTTCAGGCCATTAACTTATACCACTTATCCAACTACACTAGTCAGTACCCCGTGCAATGCACGGGAACAATATTAAATTAACAATATTATAAATAGATCTCGAGTTTGAGTCACTGACGGAAGTGAAAACTACTATTGATCCTATTTAAAAAGAGGAAGAAAAAAATAATAATTATAAATTAAAGAGAAAGATAAACAATATTTAATAATAATAAATTAAAGATTCGGGGTCAAACAATGTAAAACTATTTTGTATAAGAAAATATGAAATTTACATTATTTTGTATAAGAGAATATAAAATTTGTATCTTTAATATTAAAAACACCTAAAATATTATTTTAGTATATATGTAAAAGTATTCAAAATTTTCTATATTATTTTTGAAAGATATGAAGTCACCTACAACTTTTCTAAACAATTTTAGAAAGAAAACATATCTAAGAACATTTGAATTTAACATTGTGTAAAAGAGATTTTTCTAGACTATTTTGTAAAGAAAACATGTCTACAAATATTTAAATTTAATATGTGTATAGGTACATATATTTATATGTGTATGTTATGTATAGTTTTTTAGAGATAAAAATTCAACATGTGTATTTGTTTTAGGAAATGAATAACAATCTTAATATCAGTTTTGAATATTGATAAGGTGTATGAAATATCTTCTCCTATTTTGTTTTTGAATCTTAAAATTATCCCAAATATCTTCTCCTTGTAATATGATTTTTTTTAAGGGCGTGTGAAATGGGATTATTTCGTTACCATAAAAAAATAAAAAAATAATAGTATGTGATAAGGATGCTCGTGTGAAATGGGATTTATCTCGTTACCATAAAAAATTATGCACGCTATTAATGAGGCGTGTGAATTGGGCGTGTGAAAAAGTGTGAATTGGGCGTGTGAAAAAGACATAAATGCTGTGTGTGAAATGGACATAAGATAAGGACAGACGTGTGAATTGGGCGTGTGAAAAAGACATAAATACTGCGTGTGAAATGGACATAAGAGTTACCGATTTTGGAAAGTAATAAATGCAAAACTAACTTTGACCATTAATTAAGTTACTAATTTTAATAAATGTTAATTCTTATTATATAAGTATAGATAGGCTTATTATATTCAGCTTGCTTGCAGTTTTTTATCAGGAAAGAAAAAAAAATGTTTTTGAATGGGATATATTCATTTATTTATGAAACGGTATAAAAACACGAAATGATACATGAAACTGAAACAAAAAAATATATTCCCATCTCTAATGCATCTAAATCTTATTTGTTAGTTATATATGCTACAATATCCATGTAGGTTTTATATTTTATAAAGTGCAATTATGATAATGTTATGGCCTTGTGGCCCTACAAATACAAAAACACATTAAAAAAAAATAGAAGAATAGATTAAAACAAAAAAGTCATGGCAAGGAGTTTGTACAGTGATGCATTATCTCTAAAAAAACACAGTGCCCACATGGTGGGATTTGAATAGAATTAGCCCCACCTCCCTCCAAAGCCACTCTCATCATTTTTCTCGAATATTCTTCATTAAATGTCAATTTAATTAATCAAGCATTAAAAACATTATCTATAATTATTATTATTTTTTTTTTTTTGTTCATATGAGTCCAAGATTGTGATGATGGAACAAATCCTACACAATATTATTGATGTTTGTTTGCTAAGCATATTTTTTAAGTAAGGTTTGACGATGAATCATAGGTTGAATTGTTAATGTAAGTTTTTAATAAATATATATGATTCACTTAAAACTTTACAAACTTTGGGTATATCACCCTTTTTTCAGAAGAGAGATGTAACAAGATTTCATAATATTCCTTTAAAATATAAAAATCTAAAAAAGTCTCAAATATAAAAAAGTATCGAAATTTCACTCGAAATCACAAACGAATACACCTCCTTAAAATTTTTTAGGATTCCTTATAAATGTGAAAATTTTGAAAAATCTCAAATCTCAAAAAGTTGTAAAATGTCACTCAATATCCCAAACGAATACACCTCCCAGGACCTAACACGATTTCTCTTAAATTTGAACGAATACACTCTCTTAAAAATCATATGTTATGAAAAGTTGTGTATTCATTTGAGATTTTAAAGACTTTAGAAATTCCGGTGTATTTAACTTAGACTTTTTAGACCTTTAAAAGTCTTAAAGTGCTCATTTGAGATTTTAAAAAGTCTTACTCCTGAGATATTTAATTCATTTGAATCTAACAATATTAAAACTTTTTAAGATTTTTTGAGATTTTTTAAAAAAAAAAAATTATACAAAATTTCACTCTAAATCTCACTTCAAGAATTAAGATTTAACATAATTCTTCAAAATTTAAAAATTTTAAAATATCTCAAATAAAAAATCTCTCAAAACGTCACTCAAAATTCCAAACGAATACACCCAATAAATTATTCCTACTTATTATTCTCTACTCTTAGAATGGAATAATGGATCAGATTGGATCAATCGAGCATGGGCCCAATAGTAAGATAAATTGGGCCAACTAAGTGGGCGTGATTTTATTTTATTTATTTCTTTATTTTTTAAATAAGGGCCAAGTATGAAATCATCCATCATTGACATTGGTTATCTATATATATACAATTGTTAGCACATGAGCATTTAATAAAACCTATTAAATTATACATATGTGGTAATATAACTTTTTTCCCTCCAAAAACCATTACTTTTTATTTATTTAACCTCTCATCTATATATATATAATAATTACTATCTAATAGAATTTAATAAAACCTATTTAATTTTACCTATGTGGCAATTTAACAATTTTCCCTCCAAAAACCGTTACATTTTGATGTATTTAATCTTTCATTTAATCATTAAATAATTAATACTCATCACTTCAAAATTACAAAAATTATTTTAAACTTTTGATTAATGACAGTTGACCATATAATGTGTTGACCGTATAATGTGATTAGATGTTATTATTGTTGTTACATTTAATTATTTTTTTTAAAAAAAAAATGTATTTGAAATTCCTAAATAAATAATAAATAATTCACAAATAAAAGACGTACCAAAATATACATTACATCCAATCAGATAAACGCAATTTAAAAAAAAAATATTCCAACTCTTTTAATTGTAAATTTGGTCTGCAAAAAAGTGAAAGAAAAATAATTAATCATTATATATACAGACTCACAATAATTTATTTATATCTGTGCAAGTGCACAGGTCGAATACTAGTTTAATTAGTAAATAATCAACACACTAAATTACAAAAATTATTTTAAACTTTCGATTTACTTACAGCTGATCATATAATGTGTTGACTATTTAACGTGATTAGATGTTATTTTGTAGTTACATTTAAATTAACTTTTTTTTGGACAATAAAAAAAATATTTGAAATTCCTAAATTAATAATAAAAAATTAAAAAAAAAATACATACCAAAATATACATTACATCCAATATGATAAAAGCACTTTAAAAAAATAAATATTTCAGCTCCTTTAATTGTAAATTTGACTTGCAAAAAAGTGCAAGAAAAATTATTAATCATTATATGTATACAAATAACTCATAATATTTTATTTATATATGTGCAAATGCACATGTCGAATACTAGTTATATTTATAAACTGTTGTTATTACTTATTACAATAATTTTTTTTACCATGTACGTGTAGCAAGTAGCAAGATATTTTCTTTAATTCTAATTATAAATGTTAATTTTATGTATTTCGTATTTGATGTGTTAATTTATTTATCTATACATATATAATTGCTAGCAAAGAAATTAATAAAACCTCTTTTGCTCTTCAAAAGACGTTATAAACATCTATCATTAATATTGTGTTTTTTTTTCACTTTATTTCACTTTTATCTAAATGTGACAATCAATATTATTCAACTTTTGAATGTAGTGTACTTTATAATATTTTTACATAATTTTGATCATTTGCGTTTACTCACACACTTAACTATATTTGATTTTATTTTTAATTCTTAGTTTGAAACCATATATTAGCAAATTTAATTGGATCGATTTAATTTAATAAAAATTTTGTTCTTTTACTTTTGGATTTTTATTTTATGTTATGAAAATGTGTAAAAGAATTATACAATAATATTTTATTACACACAAAATACAAAATCAATAAATTAGTGATATGCTAAAAGAGTTAAATAGTTTATATTTATATTGTTCATTTTAATAATGATAGACTATAAATTGTGACATGCTCATTAATTAAATTATAATTTAAATATGACATACACACACATATAACATATAAAAATTTATTTGCATTTTGTACATATGCACATGATTGCATACTAGTTATTTGTATATTTAAATAAATTATTACTAATTTGATACTTATAATTATAAAATTATATAATTATATATTGATTAAATCGAAATATTTATTGAATTTTTTATTTATATGGTATCATCATATATATATTAACTACAAACATTTATTCAATTTTTTGCCTAGACATAGGAGAGTTGACCTTCCAAGAGCCAAAAGGGCAAACAGGTCCATAGTCATAGGAGAGTTGAGCTTCCACGGTAGAAACCAAACACAGAGTTTGGTTCAATTGCGAACCCTTTTGAGCTGCCAAGCTAATCATCCATGGATTCCAGCAGAGGAGGCAGCAGCAAATGTAGAAAGAGGCCCACATTTCTCCATAATTACAGAACGCCCATCCTTCTCGCCGCCGTGCTGATCTTCGGCGCCCTCTTCATCTCCTCCAGAACCCTCGTCGCCCCTTCCCACCCCTTCCCCATTTTCCGAGATTCCGGCCAGCCCAATCCATCGCCGTGCTCCAAAACCCTCGGGGACAGGTTCCTCTGGTACGCCCCCCACAGCGGGTTCAGCAACCAGCTCGCCGAGCTCAAGAACGCTGTTGTAATGGCCGCCATCCTCAATCGGACGCTGGTCGTGCCTCCTGTTCTCGATCACCACGCCGTTGCGCTTGGCAGTTGCCCCAAATTTCGGGTTTCGGATCCGAATGATTTAAGATTTAGGGTTTGGAATCACAGCATTCAGCTCATCCGCGACCGCAGGCAAGTTCACCTTTTTTTTTTTATTCCCAATTATTTTTTCTCTTAATTGATTAGTATTTGATTTGAATGGTGGGTTTTCTCGACGAAGCACATTACAGTTATGGAATCTAGTTTTGTTGGGGAAAGTTTGTTTAATTTTGGTTTTGATTACTGCGGTGAGCCTCTTCCTTGATGACTACAATGGTGTTGATCTGGATTTTTAACGTAATTATTGAGGTTTCACTTGTATTCATTTACTGCTGTGAGGAGGTGCAATTTTGGTTATATGAATCTGTTCGAGTAAGAAATAGGTATTTTACCAAGAACATAATGAAGTTGACACCCATTTTCGGCTTCTTGCTGACATTTGTGGGCAGAGTTCGAGTTCTGTACTGCATACAAAGCTCCGTATGCATTTATACGCATGCTCTATGTTACCATCCTTTTGACTCCATTACATTTGCGGGCTAAGAAGGGCTTTCTTTAGCTCTGAACTGCAAATATTTTTTGTTGCTTGTGTATGCTCAAATGGCCCGCATTTACTTTCTTCTATGCAATGGGTTTGCTGTCTTATGTTGGTTCCTTAAAACAAACCATAGAGAACTGAAAGTTATTTTTTCCTTGTTTACTGATAAGTACATAAATCAACATGTTAACCATGTTTTCTTTTTGTTGATGGTGGCAGATACATATCCATGGCTGATATAGTCGATCTTTCATCTCTAGTGTCCAATTCAGGTGTCAAATTTATAGACTTCAGGGCTTTTGTGTCTATTTGGTGTGGTGTGAATGTAAACTTGGCATGCAATGCAGACTCAAGTTCAAGTATGCATTTTTCTTTGCTCGAGAATCTGAAACAATGCGGATCGTTACTCTCCGGATATGATGGCAATGTAGCCACTTGTTTATTTGCTTCACAAGAAGATTGCAGAACAACAGTATGGACATACCAAAAAGAAGATGGAATTCTAGATTCTTTTCAGGCTGATGATGAGCTCAGGAAGAAAAGGAAAATCTCGTACTCGAGGAAAAGGAAAGATGTTTATAAAGCTCTCGGTTCTGGCACTGCTGCTGGATCAGCCACTGTTTTAGCACTCGGTAGCCTTTTTACTGCACCGTATAAGGGCTCTCAATCCCACATCGACATTCGAGAAGCTCCAAGCAATCAAAGGGTACAGTCTTTGATTCAAAAGATCGAATTTCTTCCGTTTGTATCTGAAATTCTAAGTGCTGGAAAGAGATACGCCGTCCAAACAATTAAGGCTCCGTTTGTTTGTGCACAGCTGAGATTATTAGACGGTCAGTTTAAAAACCACTGGAAAAGCACGTTCGTAGGAATGAAGCAGAAATTGGACTCATTGAGAAAAGAGGGTCCTCTCCCAGTTCACGTATTCGTAATGACTGATCTTCCTAGGGTTAATTGGACGGGAAGTTATTTGGGGGATCTGGCGAAAGATCACGATGTTTTCAAGCTGTTTGTTCTGAGAGTGGAAGATGAGTTGGTAGTTCAGACTGCTAAAAAGCTTTTAAATTCTGGTAGTTATGACGGGGGAGATGGAGAAAGACTATGCAATGCTTTCTCATTACCCGATATGCTTCTGTATTTGGAAGAAACTATATGTAGCTGTGCTTCTCTAGGTTTCATTGGGACTTCTGGTTCGACAATTGCTGAAAGTATAGAGATCATGAGGAAAAATCGAATATGTTCGTGACTTAGATTCGCTTGACTGCCAGTGGGAGATAAGTGTGCAACAAAATCCCTGTTGATACTTTGTTGATACTTGATACTGGCCTAATCTAGGGACCTAATCTTTTGCTAATGCACTTGTTTTTGTGCATTACCTAGCAAGTATACACTATAATGGAAGCAAATTAAATTGATAACATGTTCGAATATTCACAGTAAGAAGAAGCTGGTAACAAAATTGAAGAGAAATTGATATTTTTTCCGGGAGAAGATGTTGAGGGCATTTTTCTTCGTTTTTTTATGTTCGGCGTTTCCATGAAGGGGAGTCATATTTTTCTTACATGATTTGGAGGTATGATGTCTATGTCTCTTTGTGATAACACTGTTTTGTCTTGATGTCCTCTTGGCCCCTCGGTAATATTTTAGCGTCACGAGTTGTAGGTTGTGCGAGAAGTGAAATAATGACCACCATGTTTTTTTTTTTTTGGCTAAATTACATTTTTTAGTCGTACTGGTTTAACGTCGTAGCAATTTTAGTCCAAAGATTCTAACATTTCGCATTTTGGTCTTTGTGATCTAATATTTTGCTACAATTTCAGTCCTCAAGGGATTGAAATTGCAACGAATTCCTAAATTCATAGATTTTTTATTAACAATTTCAATCCTTTAATTTAAAATTTTGTTGCAATTTCAATCCTGTAATTTTAAATTAAATTGCAGCAAAATATAAAATCAAAAGGCGAAAAGTTGGAACCTTGAGACTAAAATTACTATGGCGTGAAACCAACATGACTAAAAATGCATTTTTGCCTTACCTTTTTCCAAATATTTTCTTCTGCACATTTTTTTTTTGTCTATTCACACTAAATTACTCGGAACAAAAGAGTGTGATTTTCCGGTCTCTACACTTGGAAACTTATAAAGAGCTCCCTAGAAGGCTAAGTCATAAAACAAGGGTGTTTCTTTAATGGTAAAAGCATAATTGTAGTGAAAGAAAGTTCTTTGACGCTCATCAGATGACCATTTCTAATGCTAAACTCATTATTCATTTGGAAGATGGTTAGGGTTCTCATGGCCATAGTTTTACATGTAACAATGCAGATAAGCATACATTTTCTTGATCTAAAATTTGTTTGTTTGTTTGTTTTTTTTTTTATTTTTTTTTCTTTTTCACATTTCTAATGTGGAAAATAACCGTTGTGCTACTGGGATGCATAGTGTGTTTGTTTTCTGATGCGTGTTTGTGTAATGCAGATTATCTCAGGTTGCATTTGGATTGAAAGATTTGAAGCTTATCTTTGACTATATCCCAGATTTCATTTTGATTGAAAGGTTGGGAGCTATATGGATTTCAAATTTGTAATGACAAATTCATTCTGTTTGATGAATGATAATGTCAAACCAATAGAGCTACATGCGGTTTTCAGAAATACTAGCGTGTAGCCCGTGCGATGCACGGGATGATATTTTTTCCTGAAATGTTTAACGTGTGAAATATTAAAAATAATATAATTTATATATATGTAACAAAAATAAATAGATTGCAAAGAAGGAAAAAAAATATAAATTATTGAACACTTTCTTTGTGAAGTAAAATTTGTGAAGCTTTGATATATTTGATTATGAATAGAAAAGTATGAAATACTACCTGCGGACCGTTGAGATAGATGAGAAGATTTACTTAGAATATATAGAATAAATATTGAGATAATGATTTACCTTTTACCTAGTATATATAAAATAAATATTGACATGATGTGGGAAAATTATGACGAATTATGACATAAATTCGTTTAGAAGTTAGTAGAAAATATTAAAAAATTAGATTTATTTTTTATTTTTTAAATCCTTACAGTAATTCGTACGCTCCTTTTCATACGCTTAATTTATCAAGTTTACACATACAAATCAAAATTAATGCAACTCGAAATATTATATAACAAATAAAATGAGATTTTTTATCTAACATTTAGTATATTGCCGGAAAATCTTTTATAAATCTTATTCTTCTTTTATGCACATAGATATTAAAGAATGAGTAAAAAAATTGTCTAAATATGTTTAAAAGTATCTAATATTATATGTGTTAACAATGTTACAACCAAAAGACATTTTAGTAGATTGGACTTAATTGAGAGGTTTGATCCGTCAAATCCGCTATTGAACTTATTTGGTAAATAGCTTATTTGATAAGCTTTTTGGGTCCAAAATTCTAATTTAAAAAAAGCTCATTAGAGCATCTTTTTGGGATAGAGGATTCACAATTGAGAGGTTTTACTTAGAACTTTTTAATTTGTCTTATTTATTTTACAATCTACATTGGTTTATAGAGCTAATAAATAATAATATGTCATTCATATGATTAATTTATCTAGAAAAATGTAAAATTCATAACTTCTTCATCAAGTGTTAGTAAATTTAAAAAAATATATATATATTTATAAATTACCAACTAAAGCATATTAAATGTTTTAATATATTATTATTAAAAGAATACATCCTAAATAATAAACTGTTCTTATTGGTCATTTTGCAATGTCAAACAGCTATAAGCTTTCAGCTATTTACCAAACACTTATTTAAAAACCGCTAATGCAATCCGCTGGTCAAATCAGCTAATATAATCCGCTATTCGCTATCCGCTGATAGAATCCGCTATCCGCTATCTGCAATCCGCTGATCGCCAAACAAGGTCATTAAGAATACGTAGACTATTATATAACATATGTGAAAATATTAAAATATTTTATATTATTATCGAAAAATGTGAAATTACCTCAATTCTGTCTAGACTATTTTATAAGAAAAATATATATACTTAAAGTTAGCATACACACACATATATATATCCTTAAAGTTTGCCCAACTAACATGTTTAAGAGTATATACAATTTTATATATAAAAACACGTTTAAAGTTTATATATTTTACAAAAATTAGACTGCTCTCAGTTTATATAAAGTTTGTTGCTCTCATATTCGGATAACGTATTATGCATTTAATGAAAGCACCCTACGATACAAATTTATAAATATTAATTAAAATAATTTTCTAAATTATATAAAATTGAAATAACAAAGGTAAATATTACATGTTCATCATGAAACAGTATATGGAATGCGTTACAGCTCTGCCGTTCGTGATGGTTACAGCTCTCCCGTTTGTGATGGGTTTCAATACTGCGGGTGCTCTCAGACGCAAAAAAAAAGTTTGTTTATTTTGTTAACGGAATCAAGCGTCGTGATGGGTTTCAATAATGCGGGGTGCTCTCAGACGAAAAAAAAGTTTGTTTCTTTTGTTAACGGAATCAAGTGTATCCAGCCTGGAAGCATTATATTGTATATGCGATGAAAAATTATTCTCTGTATTTTTTTTTCTCTGAACTCGTGAATGATGAGTTGTAATGGTGGTAGTGAATATCATTTTATACAATTTTTTATTAACCAATAGTGATAAGATAATTATGGATTGTATTTCGATAGATAGTAAGTCCCATGATTTTTGCTAACGGACAATCAATTTCACATGCTTAATTAACGAAAATATCACCATTATTAAGGAGAATATCCATTTACTTAACAGATTTCGTAACAGATTTGCTTAATTAATGGGTTCGTAACAGATTTGCTTAATTAATGGAATTATCTGATCTGATACTTAATTAACGGGAATACCAATTACATAATCCTATTCATGATTTTATTTTTAAAATTTGATTGAGATTACATAAATAGAAAGTTAAAAGTCAACTCAATTTATTTTAGGTTTCTAAAAATGATTTTTACATCAACCTTTTTAGATATATATAGATACGTACTTTCAAATTTTCACTAAAAAAAAAAAGAAAGCTACTCTCGTTACAGAAAAATGCATGTTTTCTTTAGAAATTGTCATATGACATTTTATAAAATACATATGTATTTTGATTCACATAATATAAAGGATCGGCCCGTGTAATAGTTGGACAGACCGACTCACACAAAAAACATCGGTAAGAACAATATTGTAATAGAATAAGAGTTTATTGAGTTAGATAGTTATTTGTTGAATTAAAATCAATATATTTAATTCACAAAATTAATGTGTTTTCTTTCCTTTTTTTTTTGGTATTTTTAGTGTAATATTAATGATAAATTCTTATATAATGTGTATTAATAAATGTATTTTTATGCTAAATAACTTTGTGCGATGTATTTCCTTATCTACAATATCAACCGAACGATTCTTATCTCAAGATTTAACGACTAAGATTAAAAATTATAGATTTTCTTATTTACATATCAACCGTATCATAAAAAATCAAGATTTAACGACTAAGATTGAAAGTTGTGGATTTCCTTATTTACAATATCAATCGTACGATTCTTATCTCAAGATTCAACGGCTAAGATTAATAGTTGTAGGTTTTCCTTTATATATATCAACCGTACATAAAAAATCAAGATTTAACGACTAAGATTGAAAGTTGTGGATTTCTTTATCTACAATATCAACCGTACGGTTCTTATTTATGAAAATCAAGATTAAACGATTCAGATTAAAAGTTGCAAATTTTTATATCACTATTTATACAGAGAGTTTCACACAAATTTTTCATTGGTTAACCCTTGTATTTTCCAGAAAACTATGAATCCCAATAACATTGGTACTTCTTATGCATTTTTTTCTTCAAGTTAATGTGATGAGGAACTTGAACAACTATTAGATAGTTATGATATAGAGCAATATCTGATAGCACAACAAACTTACAACAATAGTATTCTTGTAAAAGAATTTCTTATAACTCAACAGGGTGGTCAAATCCATGGAGGTTCAGTTCCTGATCAAAAAATTACCTAACTGGAAAAACGAAAGAAAAAAATAATAATTAATAATTACTAATTCAAAAAATTGAGAATACTTTATTCTGAGCATGTGAGTGATTGATTGAAAATAAGACCATTTACTGCCAATCTTCTCAAAAAAATTAATATTATATTATCTTTGAAATAGTGCATCAAGTGGTTTTGACTTTTGAGTAAATGT